TTTGGGACGGCTGTCTTCCTGCTTCTTAAAGCGGCTTTCTAGTACAAAAATTTTAAATTTTGTACTAAAAATCTGCTTTAAGAAGCAGGAAGAAAGCCGTCCCAAACGAAGCCTTAGTCAAATTTGTAGTTGAATCCTTATACTTATCACACAATAGAATTTCAGTTTCTAAACACATGCTATGTTAGAAATGTCAATATCCTTCATTGAAAATAGTGATCATCATAGATCAAAATTTCATCCACAATCATAAATTAATGAAGTTTTTTTTATGTCATAATTGCTCAGTCCACTAAAGCAGAAAATTTCAAATTAGTTAATAGAATTTTCAGCACTAAATTCAATCAGTTTCCTTCTCCAATATAGATGTATTAATTATTGCAGACTAAAAAGTCCTTTTTGATGGCTATTTTATAGAAGAAATTGAGAGATGAAAATTCCTTCATTGTAGATTAATAATGATAGAATATTGCTTCTTAGTGATGGAACTTTTCATATCTATTAGGATTTTTTTTTTTTAGTGAGTGCCTCTTTGTTATGTGGATATAGTTAGTGGTGACTAACTTTTGTAGTGGCTTATGCATGATGAGGTTGGCAATAAGGCTTTTTAATTTGTTCATTTCGCCTTTTAAATTTACTTTTGGTTAGCGAAATCATCGTGAGTTTCGTAGCTCTTTTTGGTCTGTTGAGGTATTGAGTTCAAGTTTTATGTATGTGATGCATGTATGAGTTTGTCTTAGTTAATTTCTATGTGAAAATAGAAGAATTCTAACTAATTATTCAGCAAATTCGATTGATTGATACGAGTTGATTTTCTGTTACGATGGATCGACGAAACAATAGCTAGCCCAATAGCTATAACAAAGATTGAGAAGATTTCTCCTTTGAATTGCCGACTATTAAATATATCGGAAAATGTGACTCCACCCCCCAAAAAAAAAAAATAAAAGTTTACATGCATACCACTTTATTTTATGTTATTTACATATATAACACCAAAATTTTAATATTACATGGCTACTACTTATATAAAATTTTAATATCAAATATATCACTAATATATTTTATTTTTATCACTTATACCATCTTATAAATTTTAATATTTTCATTCCATGCACTCATATATGTCATATATTTCATTCTTATCATCCATAGCATGTAATATTAAATTTTTAGATATTAGATGTGTAAATAGTATGAAATAAAGTGGTATGTATGTAAATCCCCTTAATTTTTTTAAACTTTTTATTTAATAATTTTTAAACTAAAAATTTTTATACTAGAAAATTATTTTAGAAATGAGTAAGAATATTATCCCAAATGAAATCTATGTGCTAAAATTTTATTTTTTAAATCATAGAAAAAAAGTCTAAGAAAGTTTTCTGATTTTTAAAACATAAATTTATTATCATAAAAAAAATAAATTCATACTTAGAAATTTCTTCATATGATTTGTCATGAAAATAAAACAATAATTAAAATTAATGTCAAACCAACCAACAAAAGATGCAAATTTGCGTTCTTCGTCAAATTTATGATCTTTGACCGACAATAAAGACCAAGGAAACCGAAAGAGAGAGAGAGAGAGAGAGAGAGAGGAGGGAATCTTTCACCGAGATCATGGCTGCTTTGGATTTTCGATTCTTATAGGGTTTTTCCGACACTCTTGTGGTTTCCCTTCGATTCTTCCTACTTGCCCGACATCTTCTTCTTCACAGGAAAGTAAAGCTTCGGATTTGTGTGTTGAGAACCTGTTTATCAGTGCGTCTCCTTTCTTCATTGATTTCTTCGAGTTTCGGAGTGGAAAACAATGAAGACTTCTCTGAGGAAGCTGAGAGGATTCGCTTCCCTTCACAAGAACGCGGATCTCAAGGAGAAAAGAGATTATGGAGTTCCTGCCCGCCAGGACGAGCTTCTCCAGGCCTCCCAGGTATTTTCTCTCTCTGTTCGCTTATGCCTCAGTGGATTTGGTTTCCGGGAGATCTGGTTTCGGGGTTGAGGTCGATGAAGGGATTCGAAGGAATTTGATGGGATGATGTGCTGCATCCTCACAAGCTGCATTTTTTTGCCCGAGTTAACTGGTTTTGGTGCTGAAGCGTCATATTATGGATTGAAATTATACATTCGTTTATCCCCATTCATATTTTCCTGTACTGAAACCAACGCCTGTTTGATTATCTTTTTATGTAAGCTTAAGAGAGGATAAGCTGAGCAAATTTAAGCTGAAAGGTTTTGGAACTGAAGTTGTAGGCTAAGTTGAGCCGTTTGTTTGGTTAAAAAGATAAGTTCTTGTGAGCTGATAAAATTGTTTATTGTTTTTTTTTTTAAATAAATTTCACTTAATTCTTTGGCTTCAGTCGTTTGATGGAGTTGTCACTCATGAAATAATGAAAAAAAGTTTTGAAACATCTCTACATGACAACTTTAGCTTTTCTCAAGTTGTGCAATAATGAGGGAAATATAAATTATTTATATATTGAACGATGATTACAAATATTACAACAGAGACTGGTTGTTCATGATTTCAAAGGATACTTGTTAGATGTTACACAACATGTGTTATTACACTTATATGCACTTAGAACTAAGGTAAAACCTCCACGCATGTAAATAGAAAATTTTTCCCAATTTGATGCATGATTAATTTCATCCTTGGTGCACCTTTAGTTATTTGTTATGAATCTTCTCATTTATTGTTTCTACTCCATGAGCCTGTAGGATTGCTAGCCCTTTTCAAAGCTTGGGACACTACGAGAATTTGTACCTAGAAATCCATTCACTTATCTATTGCACTACTCACATTTATTTTCTAAGCACTATGTCAACTTGTACTATAAAAGAAAATTGTTTTATCTATGTAGAATGATAAGTATGATACGTGATTTTTCTCTTAATTTCTTTGTGAGGCATTTATCCTAAATGGTTTATAAAATAGAGTTTAATTTTGTGAGGCGCATTTGTAGTTAGGTTAGAAAGAATGCATGCATATATAAGGGAAATAATAGAAGAAAATGACAATCACATTAATTATGAAGTTTTTATGTCGAAGTAACTAGTTCATTTAAAGAAGTGTTCAATGGGCCCAAAGCAAACGCCGATAATAAGCCCCCCTCACAATCCTATAAACAAACACATCAATTTAAGTCAGAGTATTTTTCCATAAACCCATGAAGATTGGCCATGATATCGAGAAATATCTTCCACCTCCTGCTCAATATAGTGGCCGACTTCAAGAAGATGCATCACTAATGACTTGATGTCCTTATTATAGTTAATGATATATACGTGCACATAATAACCAACATTGCTCAAATTAGGAATATCATGCAACTTTTCAAGACATTCTTCCATGTTGTACTCAATGGCATTGCTATATAGATCACACTTACATTGGTTTATGCATAGATATTCATGCATTTATCTTGGATTTTCTATACCATGTAGGCTTCTCTTCCTAGATGTTTCCTTATGATTTATTTTGTGATTCTCAACACTACCACTATTTTTGTTAGATGGGTGATGTCATGAAGTAGGTGTTTGAATTGGTTGATTAACAATGAAAATGTCTTTTGATCATCGACATACCCATTTAATTTTTCATTGATTGTCGGCAAATAGATATTTGCATTGAGGCCCAACATAGTATTATGAAAAACTTCATTATTTAAGTAAAGGTTGTCAAATCAAGGCTATCATTGGACTCCCCTGTGTGCTATTAAATTCCCAATCGGGTGTCTCATACTTCTGGGCTACTTGGATTCTTGCTTTTTCTCACACTATTGCACCCATGATGACTAACTACTTTTGCATCTTTGCATAATGCTTCATACTCCTCAAAGAGTGGGAAGGTGTTATAACTTAGTCCTTTTCAGACCTAACCTAAATACAATCACACAAGATACTCCTTTATTTATCTATTGTTCCAAACATCATATAATTTATATGATTAAAAATAACATTCGGCACCTTTATAGCCTCTTCTCATACATCATCTTTAGCTAGTGCTATATCCAACACATTTGCATCAAACTACTCATGATGAAGCTATGAGCAGTTGAAAATAAGCACAGGACAATAGAACTTGTGCCTCTACCATGAATCTTTTAGTGGAAGGAGTGACATTGTTGAATTCTTGATGCTATTAAGCATTAGTAATAGGGATTCATAGTAAGCCCTAGTCGATGAAATGGATAGGGTTTTTAAATTGTTGAGCAAATATTGATTCATGTATCAACAAAAGTAATTCCAAAACTATCAAAGCATCATAAAAAAAAAATAAGAAAACCTCATAATTGTTCATAGTATAACAACACCTCGCTGGCAAAGAGATCGTTGCTGAGAAGGGTGCCGAGAAATAGAGAGGATGATGGATAGGGTACCAAAGTCCATGAGGTATTTGAGATCATAGAGTAGGGAAGAAAATGAGATATTGCAGGGGTAATTGGAGATCATACTGAATGTATGAAGATGAGAGTGCAAAGGACAAGTTAAGCCTAGAAAAAAAAAAAACCCAAATCTAAACCTTAGCCACAAATTGCAAACATGTACATAAAAAACAGCAGAAGAGGATTGAGCTAAGTTCACTGAGGAGGGGAGAAGAGTAAAGATCACTAGATAAGGGGGAAGGTAGAGAGTGCTAAGCTAGGTGGGTCAAGGTCCAGCTTAACTTATCCTTGCTTTTCTCCTTAAGCAAACTTAAGTTACACTTCTTTTAACTCGGCTTAGAAAATACTCAAATTTGTGTTTGGCTGATACTTTAAACATAAGCTAGGTTAAGCTAGTTAGTTTGCCAGGACCAAATATGCCCCAAAGCTCATAGTTGATGGATAAAACTAGCCATTGTTAGTCTGAGATTGTTGAATGGTTTCAAGAGCTTCATACTTTGCCTAATTATTTCATCGGAAAAATGCGGTTTGCTAAGCATATAGCGGACATTTAAATTGCATGAAACATGGATGAATTGTGATAGACCGGTTTAGGAGGGACCGGTCCTGCCGACTCAACACTTCGACCGACCCCTTGTATAAAACAGGCGTAAGCCTGCTATTTCCACCCCTGGTGGGTTCTGCCCCCTCCTGTGGGGTCCACGGCTTAAGTAGACAGAGAGAAAGAGGGTTTAGGAGGGAAAATTTGAATTAGGTGGGCTGTTTAGTCCTTTTGGGAGTTATTTTATGTGCTTTATGTAGGAGGTTGGGAATAGGGTTAGGGTTATCTGGTATTTTGGAGAATTATGGTTTCCTTGGTGTTTTTGTGCTCTAGCGGCGTCTAGAGATTTGGGAGAGATAGATCCGTATCTCATTATTTTCTTTCTTCTACTATTCAATCAAGAGTGTTTTTATCTTGTTTTTCCTCCATTAAATTCTTAAAACCTGCTTGGCGAGATTGCTAAAATTCTGATTTCAACAATTATTTTTTGTTTCTACTGCTATTTCCTATTGTTGTGTTCTGGAATATTCGTTGCGATAGAGAAATATGCAATTTAACATCTTAGTTTTGTATGAAAATCCAGCATACAATCAGATAAAAGAGATGGTGCAGTGTTCATAAGAAATACCAGAGTTTTTACATAAAAGCCCTTGAGAAGTGGGAAAAACCACGGGGCATGGCCCAGTTTGAATGAATTCACTAGTGTTTACAATCGATTACAAATGAGGGCTCTTCCTTGGGGGAAGGCCTTGACTTAATGTGGCAAATATACATCATATATAATTCATTACATGGTAGGAATTAGAAGAATCAATATTGGCATGTTCGTTTCGTTAACAGGACCATAGTCGGCGGGCAATAAAGGTCGGAAAAATCGTAGTCTTGCAACGGAGGTCGGAAGGACTGTAGTGGACTGGCTAAGGAAATCAGAAAGACTGTAGTCTGGCGACGGAGGTCGAAAGGATTGTAGTCGGCGGGTGACGGAGGTCAGAAAAATCATAGTCTGGCAACAGAGGTCAGAAGGGCCTTAGTCGTCGGGTTACAGAGGTCGGAAAGACCGTTCTCTGATGACGGAGGTCGGAAGGATAGTCGGTGAGTGATGGAGGTCGGAAAAACTGTAGTCGAGTGACTGAGGTAGGAAGAACAGTAGTCGGCGGGTGACGGTGGTTAGAAAGACACTTGTCTGACAATAGTTATCATGGGAAGTCCGACAATAAGCAGTGGTCAAGAATAAGTTTGGCGACAGTCGGCGGCTGGGCAGAAGTCCGCTTTCAATCAGTGGCCTGACAGAAGTCTTGCATCAGATGGTCGTCGGGCAAAAGTTCGACGTCAGTTGATGGCCGGGCCGAAGTCCGGCTTCAGTCGGTGGCTGGGCAAAAGTCCAGCAATGATCGGTGGTCGAGGAGTCTGGTGGAAAGAAAACTCTCTCTCTTTCTTCATTCTCTTCCTTGTTTCCCCTGCTTCCTCCTCCTTTCCATGAGGAATGAGAGGTCTATTTATAGTTTTCTGAGAGTGACATGACTAGTAAGTAGGGAGGAGATCAAGGGCATGTTAGGAGTGTTTTGAATGGACGCTCGATATCAACTCCTTTGATCATGGATTGTTTATCGAGTATTTTAGTGCCTTGATGATGTCAGAATTCAACAATCTTGGGCTTGTTGTATTCGTCTCATCGAGCCGCTCGATTCGAGTATTCGACTATAAGCATGTAACGTTTGGAAACCGTTTGGTCATCCAATTTATAGTTTGAAACTTCCAAATGAGCTTCGCGTCTTCAATTTTGTCCCATTTGAGCTCAGATTGAGTCGAATTTGGTGTCGTTGGGTTCGTCTTTTTGAGACTTTTAGTTCGATTATAATTTTGTTGAAATCGGAGTTTAGATGGTCCCAAATTTAATTTTAGAAGTTTCCAACTTGATTTTGCCGCGAGATTCGTACGTAATCAAGATAGATTTTTGATGATATATCACCATCAAATTGTGACAGCTAATTATTTGGACATATAACTTTTGGGAAGCTTTTGTTTGATTGGCATTTCTATGAAAAAAAATACACTTCGGTATTTGGTACTTTCTGCATGATTCCTGTTTTTGCTTGGTAGTGAAACCTGTCCAAGCCTTGGCATTTGAGTGGAGATTATAAGAATTGATGAGTTGCTTCCTTTGGCTGTTAGCTATAACTTTTTTATTCACTTTCAAAGCTCAAGAAGGATTTAAGAGGATGGTATCTGTAAATGGAATCGATTGATTCGATTCCACTTAAACATTTTTGTAAGTTGTCAAGTCAAGAAAGAAGTATTTTAAGTTCTCTCAAAGGTTGGATTTATAGATTGCAATTTCAAGTGACATTAGGTTGTCTCTGTTCGGCACTCAATTAACTAACCATGGGTCTAACTACCTAGATAAAGTACACTTTTTTTTGGTTGCCTGTGTTGCTTCATGTGTTCGGTAGTCATCTTGTAACGGTCAAGTTCATGAGTTGTTTCGGCCTAGTGGTTTAACAATACTTTTAGCCAAAAACATTCATCATACGATGGTTCTTTATTCTGTTTTCTATTTTTAAAATTCTAATTTAATTTAATTTAATTTATTTTTAACTTTTGCTTTTGCTTTGACGGTTTATATTGGTGGCATTTGTCAGGTTCATTTTTTTCTTTTATAGTGAGAACCTTTACTATCTGAACTCTTCATAATGACAATAAAAATATGATTTGGAATCTTAATTGTCTTAGTTGTGTGCTTATTAGATGATGATTATGTTACGCTGCCGGCCCAGGAGGGGCTGGCTGAACCGGTCCAACAGGGACCGGTTCATGTTTATAGCCGGTGGCCCAAGGCTTTGGGCAGAACAAAGGGGGGTGGAAGCTCTAGTGGGCCCACTTGCTTAATTAAATAGTGTTTATGAGGGAAAATTTGAATTATGGGCTGTTTAGGGATTTTGTAAGCTTCCTTTAGCTTTAATTAGTCTTTTGGAGGCTAGGGTTTGGGTATCTTGAGATTTGCTGAAATTTTGAGATCTAGGGTTTGTTTTTGTGTGGGCTCTAGGCTTTGATAGAGATTTGGAGAGTATTTCTTGCTGTCGAATTGAAGAAATTTATATCTTGCTTTGTTTTTCTTGTTTGTGAATTAAATCAAATTCGTGAATTAAATCAAAGTATTTCTCTTGCGTTTCTTCTCCAATCTACTATATTTCCTGCATGGTTTTTGCTGATTTCTTTTTGAAATCGGCCCGATTTCTCGCTGTTTTTGTCAATTCTTGCTAGGTTTGCTTGCGAACTCAAGTATTGCCCTTAGGGTTACTTGCGAGCTCAAATACTTCCTATCAGATTATTACTGATTTGCATGTTTATGCTGATTCCTGTCCTTTGATTCAAAAAACTTCTATGCTGTTGACTTCTCACCGCTTGAAGATGCAAGTTGGGCTATTGTAATTTCTTGTATGACCAAATTTAATTATTGATGCTACCCTCTTTCATCCTGTCTTTTTATGACGTGATTTATGAGATATCTGGCATCAATGCTAATGCTTCCCCTTTTTCTAAGATCAATGGCCCATTTTGAAGTTGGATTATCTCTTTTGCAGGATGTGATAGAAATGAGGAATTGCTATGATAGCTTGCTTTCTGCGGCTGCTGCCACGGCAAATAGTGCTTATGGTAAATTTCATATAAAAAAAATATGCTTATGTTAACTCGAATGAGTATCACGTTAGGCTCTTGTGAAACATTTTTCCTTCATTAGGAGCACATGGGCCAGTTTTTTATTTTATTTTACAGCATATTTTATACTTTTAAATATTGATGTATTTTCAATATCCATGGAACTTTAAGGAGGAGGCTGTTACATTTCATTCTACCTGTATAATTAATTACTTAACATAAAAAGTTAAATGTATTCCGTATAGTATTCTTTGTACAGATAGATCTTTCTCTATTTATTCCTTAATATACTGATCATACAATAACAACAACATCAAGTCTTTATCCCACTACGTGGGGTCGGCTGCATGAATCATTTTTCTCCATTTTGTCCCATTAAGCTTTCAAATTCTCATTTAAATCTAATAAAGAAAGGCCATTTCTAATATTTTTCAAACAAGTTTTTTTAGGTGTACCTCTACCTTTCTTAATATAAGCCAAATTTAATACATCTACTCCCCTAACCTGGTCATCAGAAGGCCGCCGTTTTATGTGGCCAAACCATCTAAGGAGACTGTCTAATCTTATCTTCCACTGGAGCTACTCCAACCTTTTCACATATATGCTCGTTTTGTATCCTATCTCTAAGACTAAAGCCACTCATCTACCCGAGCATTCTCATCTCTATAACACTTAATATTATACTTCTCTTTTAATGGACAATAGGGCTGCAAATGAACTGACCGTTTCATAAGTTACTTGTGGTTCGACTCGATTACAACTCGTTCATGATCGTTTGTTTAAGTAATCAAACAAATTTGAACAATATTTTAAATACTCAACTATTAAATAAACAAACATGAACAACTATATGTTCGGCTCGTTTATGTTCATGAACAATATCAATTAAAGCTCATGAATAAGCTCGATAAGAAGCTTGATAAAATCATTATTTTGTATATTTTCATATAATTTTTAGTTTTATTATAATAAGTTATTCTTATGATATAAAAAATTAATTACATTATTTTATGTTATGCTATTTCATTATAATGAATTTGTTCATAAACAAGAGATATTTATTCATGTTTGTAGTTTTTTTTTGTTTAAACAAGCTTGTTTATAAAAAGAATCATTTTATGAGCTTGTTTATTCGTGTACGGGCTCATTTGATAGATCAAAATCACTCCCTATATATGTTCGTGAACGACTCTTGGTGATTGTTTGTTTGTAGGCTTGATAAGATTGTTTGTTTAAGGATCAATAAGCAAAAACAAATTGAACATGAATTAAGCACAATCCAAATATGAACATTTATTCTTTTAAACAAATCAAGCTTGAACGCAAACAAAAAAGCTCGAATCGAGCTTGAACCAAGCTTGAACAAGTTAATAATAAACAAGCTCAAACATGAACAAGTAACTACTTGGCTCTGTTCGACTCATTTGCAGCCCTAATGGACAACATTTTGCACCATAAAGCATTACAGGTCTCACCACAATCTTATAACGCTTTCCCTTAAGTTTGAAGGGGACTTTTCTATCACACAACAAGCCCGATACACTCCTCCACTTTAACCGTCCAACTTAAATTCTTTAGCTGGTTGGTTCAAATTAGTTTTTGTTGGTTCTTGCTTTAGCTGTAAACAAAAGCTTAAATTTTTAATGAGAACATATCAAGAAGGAATTTTAATTTGATTTTTCTTCACAAGACCCTCTTTTACTCTTAAGGATTACCAAAATATCTTCCAATAACAACAACAACAACATCAAGCCTTTATCCCACTATGTGGGGTCGGCTACATGAATCCTTTTTCTCCATTATGTCCTATTAAAAGTCAAATTCTCGTTTAAATCTAATAAAGAAAGGTCATTCCTAATATTTTCTAACCAAGTCTTTTTAGGTCTACCCCTACCTTTCTTAACATAAGTCAAATCTAATACATCTACTCTCCTAACC